CACCTGGTACTCGGTGCTGTTGAAGCGGTTGACGCGGATCACGCTGGTTTTCTGCTGCGCGTTGGCGTTGTCCGAGTTGGTGGCGTACAGGTAGTTCTCAAAGACAGTCAGCCCATACAGGTGCTCGATCTGGAAGGTATCAGGTGAGTCCATGAGGGATTTAGGAGTTGTGAGAGCCATGAGGGATTCAGGAGTTGTGAGAGGCACAAGGGACTCAGGAGTTGGTGGTGTACAGGTAGTGAGAGCCACAAGGGATTTGGGAGTTGCGAGAGCAATAAGGGATTCAGGAGTTGTGAGAGTCACAAGTGATTTAAGAGTTGTGAGAGCCACAAGGGATTTAGGAGTTGGTGGTGTACGGGCAGTTCTCAAAGACAGTCAGGCCATACAGGTGTTCTATCTGGAAGGTATCAGGTGAGTCCATGAGGGATTTAGGAGTTGTGAGAGCCATGAGGGATTCAGGAGTGGTGAGAGGCACAAGGGACTCAGGAGTTGCGAGAGCCACAGGTGATTTAGGAGTTGTGAGAGCCACAAGGGATTGAAGAGTTGTGAGAGCCAGGCTCCAGGACACACAAAACCCCCAATTCCACCTGATGGTTCTTGTCCGTCACTGGCCATCAGTAATGTCCATCCAACCGTTCTTCTCCACCACTGACCATCAGTGATGTTCATCCTACCCGATGGCTCTCATCCATCACTGGCCATCAGTAATGGACATCCCATCTGAGGGCTCCTGTCCATGATTGGCCATCAGTGATGGTCATCCCACCCAATAGCTCTTGCCCATCACTGACCATCAGTATTGTCCATCCCACCTCATGGCTTTTGTGCATCACGGGCCCTCAGTGATGGTCATCCCACCCAACAGCTCTCGTCCGTCATTGACCATCAATGATGTCCATCCCACCCGATAGCTCTTGTCCATCACTGACCATCAGTGTGGTCTTGCCCATCAAGGCCATCCTTGGCAGGACCACGCTCAGAGCTCAGCATGTTCTTTGCTGAACCTCCAAAGTCCCAGCTGCAGACCAGCAGCACCCAAGCTTGGCTCCCTCTCCCCCAGCCCCACTCACCAGGATGCCCTGGATGATGGTGTGCCTGTTCTTGCCCTCGTAATCCACCACCTCGATGTAGTCCAGGTAGGCATCAGCCCAGTAGACCAGGCGGTTCACCAGGTCCAGGGTGATGCCGTGGGGGAAGACGATCTTGCTGTCCACCAGCTTGGTGCGGTTCTGCCCGTCCATGTCGCAGCGCTCCACCTTGGGGATCTGCCCGTAGTCGGTGAAGAACACCTTGCTGTGAGACAAGAGACAAACTCAGAGCCAGGGTGAGCCTTGGGAGGGGGAGGATTTGGATGTGTGGATGCCTCTTGGAGTCTCTGTGGTCAGAGTGACTATGAGATGTGTTAGAAACTATCTTTTCTTAGTTAAGAAGGAGTCAGAACTCTTCTATTCTTGTTTCTTATCTATAAAATTCTATCTCTGACCCACCAAGCTCTGTCCAGCTGGTTGGGTTGATGCACATTGGTGTTATCTTTTTATACTCTAAATTACATTACATTATTTACAATAACTTCTCAATACCTATCACCTATGTTAGACAATGAGCTTCTACTCTAAACCAATCCCAAAGTGTCACCATCACAGCAGAAGATCCTCTTGGGATCTCTGCTGGTCAGAGTGACTTAGAGATGCATTAGAAAATCTCTTTTCTTAGTTGAAGAAGTCAGAACTCTTCTATTCTCGTTCTCAAGCTTGTTTATTGTTTCTTATCTATAAAATTCATTCTCTGAACCACCAAGCTCTGTCCAGCTGGTTGGGTTGAGGCACACTGGTGTTATCTTTTTATACTCTAAATTACATTACATTATTTACAATAACTTCTCAATACCTATCACCTGCGTTAGACAGTGAACTTCTACTCTAAACCAATCCCAAAGTGCCACCATCACAGCAGAAGATCCTCTCGGGATCTCTGCTGGTCAGAGTGACTTTGAGATGCATTAAAAACTCTCTTTTCTTAGTTAAAGAAGGAGTCAGAACCCCTCTATTCTTGCTCTCAAGATTGTTTATTGCTTTTTATCTATAAAATTCTTTTTCTGACCTGCCAAGCTCTGTCCAGCAGGTTGGGTTGAGGCACACTGGTGTTATCTTTTTATACTAAAATCTACGTGTACAATATTCAACATAACTTCCCAATACCAATCACCTACGTTAGACAGTTTGTCTCTACTCTAAACCAATCCAAAAGTGTCACCATCACAGCAGAAGATGCTCTTGGGATCTCTGCTGGTCAGAGTGACTGAGAGATGCGTTAGAAACTCACTTTTCTCAGTTGAAGAAGTCAGAACTCTTCTATTCTTGTTCTCAAGCTTGTTTATTGTTTCTTATCTATAAAATTCATTCTCTGAACCACCAAGCTCTGTCCAGCTGGTTGGGTTGACGCACACTGGTGTTATCTTTTTATACTCTAAACTACATTACATTATTTACAATAACTTCTCAATACCTATCACCTATGTTAGACACTGAGCTTCTACTCTAAACCAATCTAAAAGTGTCACCATCACAGCAGAAGATGAAGGCCAAGAAGAAGAAGAAGGACAAAGACTGGACACACTTCAATTCTTCCATCTTGCCCCCTGAACCTGCACTCTAAAAACCCTAAAAATCGATTTTTCACCCCGTGACAAACTATTATTCTACTTAAACTTCCTTGACTTGTAATCCTTCATATAAAGGTTGGTAATTATTTTTTCCAAAGGCACAGGGGTCTTGGGCTCTGTGCCAAGGTCTCT